CCCATCGCGGGGCGGGCAGGCGGATGCGCGCGACCCCATCGCGGGGCGGGCAGGCGGATGCGCGCGACCCCATCGCGGGGCGGGCAGGCGGATGCCCAGGTGCACGCACACATTCCCTCTTACAGACAATTATTTGCCCACTCCAGTTCACCTTAGCATGTTTTTGGATTGTGGGGGGAAACAGGAGAACATTACAATGACAACATGCAAACTCCACACACACAAAGTACTCAGGCTGGACCCCTGAAGGCAATATCTTAAACTATAAATGACATTTAGCACAAAGAAAGTCCACGATTATGAAATGAGTGGGACAGAAACAAAGCATTTCCAGTAAGCAAGAGCACCATCATAGAGAAGGCATGAAAGAACATCCCAGACTGACCAACCCCCATCAAATGACACCCAACAGCTCACTGCAGTCACAATGCAGCAGGCTCCATGTCCATGAGGGAGTGCTCATTCAGAAGATGCTTCGGTGATCTATAAGTTGGGAATAATTGATGGTCCTAATGGTAAACCCAATGGGGCACACTCACGTGTACTGTGGTTACCATACTTTCCAGTCTCATCCAGTCAAGGTGAAATCTACCAAGATCATAGCCTGATGTAACTATTTACTTCCCACCTAACAAACTGATTCACCCCTAATTTTAACTTATTTTCCCTCAGTGCACAGTTGAAGCACAAGATTTATTTCTTTAAAATGCCCAAATCACCCAATTCCAAATGATAGTTTCTAAGCTCAAGTCAGGGTGGTACTAGAGAAGCCCAAATGGATATGGGCACCATTTTCTTCAACATGGCTCAAACAGGCAGCTTTTGACATGGGGCAATCAGATCTTGCAGAACAGGCTAAACCTCAGAGTGCTGATGAGAGGGTTTGAAAAGGGAGGCGCCTTTGTATTCTGGAAATTGTACAGCCTGGATGTTGCCACAATGATGGGTGCTTGATATCCAGTCTAACACGTTCCCTCCCAGTCTTCCCTTCCCCCACTAGCTACTACCATTCCTTAGAGACAGAACTTCCTGACATAGAAGCCATAAATAATCAATGAAGTGCAGCAGCAAAGGCAGTAGGCAGGAAGTACCTGGTTCTCCATTAGACCAGACTGCTAATGCTAGAGATATAAGGAAAGCTCAACAAAATTAAATACTTTAAGGTGAACAAAGGCTAGGGTCGCCAAGTTTATATTGATGTCCCATTCCGTAAATTTCCTTCGGGATTAATAAAGTATGTATGTATGTATCTATATTCAAAAAACATGCCGAAGGTACAATATCAAGTTTGATTTCTAGCAGGACAACTGTGGTGCAGGGTCGGGGTCCACAACTCCAGCATAAATAAGGGACCCAGGTTTTCAAGGATTACTGGTTTGTATGGCAGTGGCGGCCTAATGGTTAGGGATGCACACTTGTAATCGAAAGCTTGCTGGTTCAAATACCCTGACCAGCAAAGTACCACTGAGGTACCCTGAGCAAGGTACAACCCAAAAGCACTGCTCACGGGGTGCTGAATTAGCTGCCCCCTGCTATGTCACAATGGTTAAATGCAGAGGACACATATCGCTGGTGTGTGCTATGCTGCGTGGTGCGTCAACAACAACAACTAATAGCTTTCCATTCCTTGCACCTGAAAATGAGAACATCAGAAATGCTCCTCCATAAAAAATCAATACGGAAGCTATGCAATGAATTATCTATACAAATTAAGTAAATATCCGATGGTCATTTTACATTAATGGCAGCATAATACTACTGGCCAGATAAGCGCGTCAAATAGTTTTATTCATACTGATTTTCAGAACACACTGGCCGTCTCCGTTCACAGTATTATGAACCTGCAAGGCGCCGAACCAGAAGATGCACCTGCATTGCGGACCGGGAATCAACACAGGGGTTCCGACAAATGCGCCTAAATAATTTAGTATCATAAAAGTAGAAGACACTACGTTTTAGGGCTACAAAACGCCCTGCTCTTTATGGTCGGCATTGTAGACATGCAGCAGTGCGACGCAGCGGGGCGTGTCAGCTTCGCTCCAGTCACCATGACCGCTGAAGCCCCGCTTTTCCGAACCGTAACCGAACTTTCCCAAAACTAACCCAGCTTTCCCCGAATGTAACCCGACTTTCGGCTCTAATCTCGGCTGTTTGTGCCACATCCCAGAGCTAATTGCGGCGTACATCTGAGCACAGCGACCGCTAGATGCTAACGAGTTAGCAACCTGGATAAAATTTATTAGCGCGATAGCCGATCTGATCATCTGTAATAAAACAACCGGAAATACAAATAAAAAAAAAATCAACACATATCGATATAATCCATCACAGTTACCTAACGGAAATGAGGAGTATGCCGTTTATATATATGCCACCAGCTAGGAAATCATTAAACGGCGAATGCTTGAACAATATTTATAAGATACATACAAATGAAGGGCACATATGAGTATAGACGTATTTTTTAAGCGTGGTGTGTGTTTACGCAGTTTCCGTGGCAGCCTAATGTCGGCTCCATGGGCTATTTTTTCAAGGCGACCCTGTCGACCCAAACTCAGTCACTTTCCAAATGATCATAGTCATTTGATATTATCATCATTATTGTCATTATTATTAGCATTAATCCGAAACCGAAGAAACTGGCGAACGCCGGTCATTCATAAGCCAGGGAGCACCAATAATCTAATATTAAATGCGGGGGAGCGCATTATTCATACAACCAGCACATAAATAATATATTAAGAAAATACATCTCAAAAATGTGAGAAACGCTTTAGTTGTCAGCCCCCCAAGCCGCCCCAAGCAGCCCCCGGCGCCGTGCTAAAGCAGGTGCCACACAAACAAACATCTCACGGCAGAGGCGGCGGCGTCCTCCTCCGCCGGCTCAAGGTGGTGGGGAGACGCGCCCAGCATGCCGGGCTCAATAAGCCGGTCCCACTGCGCCTTACCTGGACGCTGTCAACGCAGATAGCAACTACTGGGCGGCAGCGGAGGGCTGCCCTCGGCTTCGGCCGTGCTTCAGGTCGCCGGGATGCGCTACTGAGAGTCAGCCATTGCCTCGGTGTGAACGCCGCTCTCCGCCCGAAGAGCTCGAGGTGGCGCCTACTCTCGCGTCTCCTAGAGATACGAGGCTAAGTGGAACGGGGCATTGTGGGATACGGTACCCACCCGGCTCCGGGTAAACAGGGTATAAACCAGTCACGATACTGGCAATACGTTTTACGCAGGGATTCAGTTAAGGCTTCTTTTTTTGTTTAATTAAGGTTGATTGTAGATATTTACCACGCTCTTTCAGAAAAGTATCTCTTCCTACTGCGCAAGCGTCTCAGATACGGAACCGTCACCATGGAAACCGACGCACGCTTTCCTGCAGGAAGTGCCCCTGAACCCCACTTAGCGAAACTACAAGACATTAGAGGCCAACCGGGCTTAAGCTATAAATCCGATTCTGTCGTAAATGTAGTAAAGGTCTTGCAAGTACGTATATTATTATTAATTAATTATACGCACACCGCACTTAGTTTTATGGGGTAAATTTGAATTATGTAATATACGTCTATGTAAAGTATACGTTAATCATTGCCGACACCAGAGGGCAGCAGTATATCAAAAATGACACATAACATGCTGCCCTGTTTCAGTCAACTAATTTAGTGACAGAATACAAAAAAATAAGAATTTTACTTTTAATAAAGTGATTTTAATACAGTGATTTTGCAGATTTTATTTATTTTCTTTTATTTTAGTTTATTTTAATTAAAAAGTCTTCCAGTTAATTTGTTGAACCTTGTGCAAATAATTAACAATTTATTCATTACTTAACAGGCTTTTAACGGCAGAAATAGGAGCAGATGTTACAATTAAGGACCCAGACCTGCTTAGTAGCATAATGGTTGTTTGTTCACATCTCAAGAACAGACTTGTTATTACAATCCTACTCAAAGTCCTTCATTAGGTGTAAGTGATATTACAGGTACACAGTTACAGATATGACAATAACGTGGTATATAAATTAACAACGAAAAATGCAAACTACAAAAAAGCCTGAAGCTATTTTCAGTGGGAAAAAAAAATCAAGTGTACTCTATTCTCATGCCACCTGTCCATGCATGGATTGGGTGAGATTCACCTGGATGCAAGTTGGCATCTTAGCCATTGATTCAGACTGTCAGCCTGCCCTTGACTGCCAGAACAAGGCCAAGGTTGAAATCCCTTGGAAAGTGCAACAAATCTGATGCAATCTGGTCTTTTGTGAAAATAAAGAGTCACATTCATTCAAAGGGGACAACAGAGGGTGGCCTAGGGTGAGTCAGGCCACGTCTGGGAGGCTGAATGCAGCTTCTGCTTCTGAGAATGCTCCCCCCCCCCCCCCATCTGCCTTGGAACCAGGCATGGAATGCTGGAAATTTCCACACCAAGCTTTGTTTTTCTATGTTTTCTGTAATCCAGAGATTGCTCATTGCCTGGGTGCATGGCGGCGAACATCAGCTGTGCAAATTCACGTAAATGTAATATATGTAAAAGCCATTAATCATTTGCTAAAATAGAGTGCTAGTTGTTATCAACTACCCTGTAGGTGCAAAAAATATGACTAGATAAAGTTCTGGATAAGTTCCGAGGTTTGCATCGATTCCCCCATGGTTTACCTCACACAACAAAAAATAAAACCTATAAAAATTGTCACCTCTGTACATATAATGCAGAAAACAAGCATTTCATCTTCTTCAAACTATTTAAAGAATGTTTGCGGATAGCAGAGCACTGATGGTAGCATGAGAGCCTGAAAATGGGTGAAATGTTTGCTTCTCATAAAACAGCAATAAAACAATGCAATGTGATGATTATAGTAGAGAGTCAGAGAACAGGATAGACAGCATGACTCATTGGGCAGCATGAGCAGCCAGAATTAGTCTTTCTGCAGCTTATTGTATGCATTTTATACTGTCTACCCTCCCACCCACAGCCCCTACCCCCCATCCACTACAATGGTGGAGTTAGCTCCCTACCCCTGTCGGAGCTACATAATCGTCCCTCCCCATTCTGCATTCTTAGTTTTAATACTGGTCTCTTCAGTGGGCTTTACAGCAGGCAAAGTGTGTGTCTGGTGCTATGAAGCATTGTTTACTAATATCAGCTGTTAATGTTCTGTTTTATATTCATTGGCCATGTATGTGAAGAAGGAGAATCAATGAACATGGTTTGAAGGAACAGGTATTAAAATTTGCTTCCTGGCAGACAGGAAGTTGTTGCAAACAGCCATCCCTGTCACAGAATTAGAAACCGCTGTCCCTGGGAACAAGCGCAAGGTATGGAACAATGGAAATGTTATATAAAAGATGGATGGTTTTTTTAAAAAAATATTTTTTAGAAATATTGTGATTACTGATGCTGAGCCTAACTACTAAAGATTACTCTAAAGATGTGAACCAGGTTTTCTTTCTAGATGCACCAGGGTTTTTAAGAGTCATTCTTCATGTAGCAGAATTCATCTCCTACTTACAAGCATACAAAAGAGACAGTGGAGACAGACAAACTGCAGACTCGAACCCCATAACAGCTTATGATTGGGGGGTCCAATTCTGAAATGTACTGTTATTCCAAGATTCAAACTGTGTTAGAAGCTGCTGGACTATATCATTGATCTTTCCACAGTGAAAATGTTTTATTGGGTCAAGAAGAAAGTAAAACAAATAAGCCAGAAGGGAAATGTTCTGAAGGACATAGCTAAGACTCCCTGCCAAATACCAAGAAGCACAGGCTGTCACTTTTTATAAACATAAATATTTATGAATCAATAGGCGTTTGACATGCTGGAGGGTTCTGGAGCCCTTACAGGAAATTGTTTTTTTGCCCTTTCAGCATTTGCTTTCCTGCACCTTGCTGACTGTGTGCTTACTTTTGGCTGGCTGAGTTTACGGGCCCCAGGTGTCTCGTACTCACATTCGAGGCCTGATCCTATAATCAGTGTGGAACAGTATAGTGGCTGTCTCCTTCTGTCCCTTTCTCCCTCTCTCTCTCTCCCCTTCTCTCCCTGGTGTCCTGGCACATAGAGTGTGGCTGTAATTTATGTCCAGTCTGTGGAATTGCACAGTGGCCCAGTTAAGGTGTAAATCCATATCAGGCATAACAAGAAATCAGTTTTACTGATAAAAATAGTCTTGTTGAATAAAAAGAAGAGCAAATAGAATCTTGAAGTGCAAAGAGAGCATTACCGACCTGCTCCTCAGACACCACTAAGATGTTTTCACAGTGTGAGTATTCTGTATTCTCCACTTGGCTTTTTATGTTTCTGGCAGAGGCAAAATTCTTTTCATTTTTAAATGTATTTTTAGTGTTCTGGTTCAAATCCTAGATGCCAGTGGGGGGGGTATTTAATTTAAGTATAAAAGCCCTACTACTGCACACAATTACACCTTAAACACATGCCTTATGCATGAGCTGTCATATTTAGAGGTTGAGAAGAGGCTTTTGGAGATATTTCTTATTCCATGACAGATAGTAAAGCAAAGAAAATTCTCATTGCAGAGATGCTGACCAAGTGAACCCGGGAGTCGGGCCACCATGAACGGCTATCCAAGGCAGGAGGATCTTGCGTGTTTCCATGTGCTGAATCCTGAAGCGTGATGCACAGCCCACACTGGCATTTGTCCGGAGAGTTATGGCCAGGTGTTAAACGTACTTTGCCAGTGCGCTTCTAATGGGCTCACGCATGCATTACATTACTGTTTATGAAGATGCTTGTTCTGATGGTCCATGTTATTTATCAATAACTTAGCTCCTCACAACTCATGAGCTGAAATCTGCCTCACCTGTGCCCATCTTTTTAAACTCTCAGCCAGGGAGAGACGGCTGTACCCCTCAGTGCCCTTTTTGTTGTACTAATTTTATACTGCACAGCACCTAACTCCTCACTCATCCAAACATTCACTTTATACTACTGATTTTGCTATTTCCCACTGACAATTTTGCATTGCCTACAATCTTCAGTCATGTTCTCGTTCCTGCTTTAAGTTTGTTTAATAAATCCTTCAGCTTCTAAGTTAAAAGCATGTGTCCTCCTTTGTTGCTGCCTTGAGCGGTCTCGTAAAATTGTTGATGCATGTGAGGACTCCCGAACGGGTCCATTTAGGTCTACATCTGCAATCCAGTCTGCTGTGCCTGTCCTGGCCTCGTACAAGGGCAACGCCCCCTGCAGGCCTCTCTGAAGCTAAAGCCTGAGCTTTTTGGGGGGATTCCTGTGGGTTAAACTGGAATGTCTGAAATGCAGGTCAAATGATTCATGTTAGTAGGTCCCTACCAGGGGCAGAGCTATGTGGTGACCTGAGGGGGGCACTGCTCCCCCTGGTTGAAGCCTGTCCATCCTCGCTCGCCCCCTATCCACATGGCACGCCGCTGTCCATCCTCGCTCGCCCCCTGTCCGCTGACATGGCACCCTGCATTCATGCCCTCCTCTTGTACCTGTTAAAAGGATACAAAAATGTTTTTACTTACCTGACAATATCACCTGGGAAGGAAGTAGTTAATGTTGCTTACCTGTATAATCAGTGGCTTACAGGTCGAAGCTCCTCCCTCAAAGATCGAGTTACAATTTAACTTAATGATGGGAGGAAGAGCATGTGTGGACAGGTTAGGCTGTTTGGGCTTTTTGACTGCAGAATTGAATGAAATATTGAATGTAATATAAAACTAAATATTAATCGTAGTAAGCAACACAATGGAAATGAGTAAAATTATTTTAATGTTATTTCATGTTTGACGTCTGCAATGAGCAAAAGATGATTGATCTTACTGTTTTTGAAATAGCAAAGTCAACAGGAAAATACTTTTGTTTGATCTTTGCAATAAAAACACTTTTTTTGCTCTATCAGGGAGTTCTCCTACATGGCTTTCAGTGGAAATGCCAGTCGAAATCCCCATCCTAACCTGAGTTTGCTAAAGGAATCAAGTTTAGCATTAGAAAGTCACTGTAGTCTTTGCTAATAAAAGCAACTGTCTGCCCTACTGCGTGTTTCAACATTAAAAACAAATGAAGGTCAAACAGAAACAGGAAAGGAGCCTCACAAATAAGCAGGAATGCTACAACGGCACAGTGAAAGTACCTCATTCTGGAAATCTGAAATGTGGTAAAAGAGAAAGGTCTGTCACGGGGGGGGGGGACCTGCGCTGTCATGTGGGCGTAAGGGTGAATTCTGTCAGGAAGCGCTGGCCGTACCAAGGTGTGGGCTGCTTCTACAGACGCAGCAGCATGTTTACGGTAGACAGCACCAGCACGACTC